TCGATCTGGCTATGTCTGGAAGAAAGTTTTTTTTTCAAAATATTTCAAAAATGTATAATTATATTTTATCGTTAAAATTGTCAAAAATTGTGATTTTTTAACATTTTAATTTGAGTATGCAGAATAATTACCCTCATAAAAACTAACATAGGAAAGTTTTCTGAATGAAAATTAATGATCTTTTCGTTTAGTTATGAGTTTTTGATACTTTGATTTGTCAAAGAAAATATCGATTCAAAGAGTGCGAATATTTTCGGCTTAGTTATGATGGATTTCCGGTTCGATTTGGTTATTAAATTGCAAACTACATTGGTATATAAACTTCCACTTCCCATAGGTTGTTATTTTTATACCCTTGCAGGGTATTATAATTCAGTCAGAAGTTTGCAACGCAGTGAAGGAGGCACCTCCGACTATATAAAGTATATATATTCTTGATCAGGATCAACAGCCGAGTCGATCTAGCCATGTCCGTCTGTCCGTCTGTCCGTCTGTCCGTCTGTCCGTTTCTACGCAAACTAGTCTCTCAGTTTTGAAGCTATCTGAATGAAACTTTGTAGTTAGCCTTCTATATACTCTCACTCGTATATATGTCGGAACGGGCCGGATCGGACGACTATATCATATAGCTGTCATAGGAATGATCGGAAAAGTTTGACAAAAAAATTATAAAATTTTTAGTTTTCAACAGAATTTGATCAAATTTGAGATATAGCCATTTCATATTATTCTACAATTTTGTGTAAAATTTTATGAAAATCGGACGACTATATCATATAGCTCCCATAGGAACGATCGAGAAATTAATACAATTAAATTTATAACTTTTTCAGTTTTCAGCTGATTTTCATCAAATTTGAGGTATAGCCATTTTGTATTAGTCTTAAATTTTGTGTCAAATTTCATGAAAATCGGACGACTATATCATATAGGTGCCATACAAACGATCGTTTGATGTAGAGGAAAAATGCAAATCTGTGAATGTAAAACTGCAAATATAATATGTATAGGTGAATGAAATGAAAGCAGGAATTACTTCATTGTTTTTTAACACAAATATATATAATTTATATTGTATGGATTCCAATTCATAGAAGTTCTATCTGCAAGGGTATATAAACTTCGGTGTGCCGAAGTTAGCTTCCTTTCTTGTTCTTATATCACTTGCTTTTTGTTTGGAAGTAATTATCTTTGTAAATTGGTAATCCTTTCTGCGTTAAGACACGCACTGCGGATACTTAATTTAAGGGGCTTCACGTTAAGTATACGCCATGTATGCCAGCTAGCTGACCAGCTGTATGGAATTGTCTGACAAGATTGCTTCAACTGCTTTGAATTTGGAACTAAAATATATCCAATACCTGAGGCAAGACTAAATATTTTTAACGTGACAGTATTTGCAAGGAACATTTACTGAACTTTTGGTACGATTTTATACCCTTACAGTGTATTGTAATTTCAGTCAGAAGCTTGTTTCGATGTGAAGAAGTCATTTCCGACCCTAGAAATCATATATATTCTTGATCAGGATGAACAGGAGAAGCTTTCTAGACATTAAAAAGAAACATAAATTTATGAAATTTTTTTCTTAATTTTATAATGGGTACATCGTTCAAAACGGTAAAAATGTTGATTTTTTACATTTTAAGATAAGTATGCAAATTTATCACTCTAATAAAAACTAACATAGTGCTGCTTCCCGAATTAAAATTCATGATGTTTTGGCTTAGCTATGAGTTTTTTAAACTTTGATTTGTTAAACAATTTTTCATATAAAAATATGAATAATATCGACTAAAAATGTTATTTTAGCTTTAGTCAGAAGCTTTTAAAGCATTTTTATTTGAGAATGCAGATTTAATACCCTGATTTCCGAAATAAAATTAACGCATTTTTGACTTAGTTATGATGTTTGAAAAATATTCTTTTCAGGAAAATTCTTTAAATTAGATAGTTACTGTTTAAAAGCTAACCACTTATATTCGATAAGTGTATCAAGTGATGTCCCACAAATATCCCCAATTCTTCCCCTTATAAACGTACAAAATAAAATGCACAAGAACAATGCAAAAAGGGGAAATTACGCTGGCATCAAGTGCATTACTCAGGTGATTTCGCCAAAGAACAAAAACGCAGACTATAACGCAATGCAAACAATTCCCCCAGCTTACAAAGTCAAACAGACCAACTGCCAACTGCCTGCTCCTGCTCCTCTGTTGGTAATAATTATAATTGAAATGTGCACAACACAATAAATGAAATGGCTTTCCATCATGCCAACATTGCGTATACGCAACGTATGCTTTCTGGTGATTGCGATTATTCGGATAATGGCAGCCAGCTGAGAGGCAGGGGAGCCGGGGGGAGCCACCACAAAGCAGCGGCAATCATCGGGGATTTCCTTGCCCCGAAAATGCATTTTGGCCAACAGCCAGCAGCGGCCTTAAGTGAGCCATTGTCTTTGCCATCCGTGTCGATTTTGTTTGAAGGTTTTCCGCCACTTCCATTCCATTTGCAGCGACCGCTGCTTTCAGCGTCCAAAATGGAAAACTTCGATTCCGAATGCATCTCAAGGACATGCAATTAACTCGCCGCCACCCTGCCACCCTCTTTTGCTTGCTTTTCTTTTCATAATTCAAAAGTTTTTCCCCTTGGCGACAAATTTTGTGACGAATTTCGGTTGCCTGGGGAGAAGTGCAGTGAGAGAAATTAAGGTTTATAAGGTAGCAGTACAAGAACTTTATTTTTCTTACTTGAAATTATAAAACGGTAATAAAAGAAGTATACTTACAGAAATATATATATATATATATATATATATATATATATATATATAAGTATTAATAAATAATTAATAATGTTTAGTTGGTTAGTTTTTGTCCGGTATGAAAATGAGCACGCAAACGAAGGTCGACCACGGCGTAAGGCGATTTTGGCCAGGTTAAGTTGCTTTTGTTTCCACTAACTAGCAGTAAGCTCCGCGAGTTGCCAGGTCGTGGAATCAGGAGCAAGGAGCAAGGAGCCAGGAGCTGCAAGCAGCATTACCTTGAGTGGGACAATAAAATCCGCGCAGGACCTCCGCCGTTGAGGAGCGTCATAAAAATTGCATGTAAGTGAGTGGAAACACAAAAACAAAAACCCAGCTAGGGAGGGGGCCAAAAGGGCGATAAAAGGTGTGTTTGCCATAGAAATGAAATGAAATTTGCTTCTCGCTCAGATATTAATATTTTTGTATACATTTTGAGGGCCTAATCGTAAATTGGAAAATCAAATTTATGCTCGTCTTTAGGCTGTCATAATTATGTTGACTGTGAAACAATTTTATGGCAAATTGAGTTTTATTGGCAGGGCGAGTGAGAGAGATTGTGTGTGTTACCTACATATATGTATACCCCTGCCTTGTACATGAGCCCCCGGGGTGGGGTTCAGTTAGAGATTCCGGATTCCTTAATCCGGATTGAGGCCTCAGCTGGCAGCTTTGAGTAGTTGTTGTCCTTATCAACGGAGTCAACAAAAAGTTTCTTCTTCGTGGCAAAGAACATCTCACCGAAGTGCCGGGACACACGTAGATACAAGTCCCCAAATGTGTCGGTGTGTGTTTCGGATAACCTTTTGCTGCCTACTGTTGGATTATGATGAGTTTTGCTTTTGGCCCGAGCTGAAAAGAAGAAAAAATAAAGAAACAAGAAGCAAGAGCAGCAAGGCTAAACTCGTAAATACCTTCATTATCGTTAAATCATGCTGAGAGGGAACGCTGGTCGATGATGGAGTGTGGGTAGCCTGGAGGACACAGGCGATGTCCTTATGTCCTGCCCCTCCCGTTCGCTGCCTTTTATTTGCCCTTTATTTCCAGCTCGGCTTTGTGACTGGCTCATGTGGAGTTTTAAATAGATTTAAATGCGCATTTAAATGAAATAAATGAGCAACATTTCCACCACACTTCACAGTCTTGAGGGAAATTTGATTTTTCCTTTTGGCAAAGAAGGGCGTGGCCAGATAGATATCTCTCGTGAATCATCCAAACAGCCAGCGAGAGCGGCTCTCCTAATGGCCAAAGTTTCGCACCGTTTTTTCCATTTACGCCTCATAAACAACCAAATTAATATACAATCAGCAGCCGCAAACAGCAGGGAGAGCATTGTTTCAAAATATAAACTGTATCCGAGTATTGTTCACATAAGCAATTTCCAAAAGATTCAAAATATAAACAAATCTTCTCTACAACGAACAAGAAATACTCTGTCGGAGAAGGGAAATGAAATAAAGGTGACACTCAGCTTTATGAAAAACCCCGACTGCCGCCTGCCAGTTCCCCCACATTTTTCACTCACCCATCACGTTTATTTATAATGGCTTTCGAAGGGAGAGAACGATGCCCAAACTTGATGCCATAAAAATGCAATTAGATGAAAATTTATGATAAATTTCTCTCGCCTGTTAATTACAAAAATATATTCATAAATTATCCACTCGATTCGGGGCTCTCTCTCTCTGGAATGTTATTTATTATGACTTGGCAATGCATTTGCTGTCTGAATGTAAGAGTTCCTGCCTTTGGAGTGGCGGTGTTGGTGGTGTTGGAAACAAATTCTAATTAAAAACTCCAAAGTTGGAAAAGTTTTTTCCGGGGGCGTACTCCGGCTCTCCGGTTCCGGCTACGGATCCCGAATCTTGTTCACCTGTTTAAACCGGACAACTTAAGCGAGTGTCGAGTCAAGTCGGTTGAATGTAAATATAATTGCCACTAAAGTCCAAACTAGTAAAACTTTCTTATGCACAAAGTGTCGAAAAGTTGAGCCATCAAATAAACATGAATGCACACACACAGTGTGTGCTCTGTCGAATTAGTTATGCATTCATTTAGTTTTATGAACTTTGGTTTGTGTCAAATGGGTTGCAAAAGGCGATCTACCCCAGCGTTCTTTATATACACTCGCATGATCTCAGCTACACAATCCCAGCAAGTTCACATTCAGTTGAGATCAATCTGCTGGAGGAAAATGTATCGGGAAGTGACCATTGGGGTGATCAACGTCCTCATGGGACTTGATGTATTTCAGTTATTGCCAAAACGTAACTATAGTCAGGTTGTTCCTTTTGATATTAAATATTTTGTTGATTAATCCTCAGTGTACACCGGGGAAGAAAAGTTTGGCAGGGCCATTCTCACCACTTCTTCGGCCCTCTTGGTCGCGGGAGTCTTGTTTGCCCAAAAGAAGCACAGGGCAAATATTCTTATAATTTGGCTTTTTTCATCGCTGGTATACATTGGCACATATATTTATGGAATTGATAAATGGTTCTATAAAAGTTGCGTTATTTTGTATATTTATGGCAGTAAGTAAACCATACCTCTAAGAATATTTCAAATTGAAATAATCATTTAATTCCATCAGTTTTGCTTGTATGCATGGAAGCGGTGATCTATAAGGCTTATTTAAAAGAGTTGGAACAATCTATACCTAAAGATCCCAATGTTTGTGAATCGAAAAGTGTGGTGGAAAAACCTCCGATGCCGACAGCTCCAATGGAATCAAATCCCCCTTCATACGAGGCAATGGCTCCCCAAATTCATGTTTATTAATCTAGTTGTTTATAATTTATTTTAATTATCAAATTCAGAATGAATTTCATTTGCATCGAATCAATTTTTTTGTATTTCTATGCAATGCTTAAATTAGTTGTTGTAAAAGAATGGTTGTACTTTTGTTTTTCATTATCTCATTAAACACTATCTACAAGCGATTAGATTATTTCTGGGCTCTTAATTTTCGCTAGTATAAAGGCAATATTTCCTGTCCAAAGTCAGTTCTCTATCGATCATTGTGCTTGATACATCGAAATGTGTTCCGTACAAAACTCTAAGAAGGTTCAAGTGACCATTGCAATTTTAGGCATTATAATTCCCTTGGCCACCATGGGCATACCTTTTAAATGTAGGGCTACAATTAAATTTTCTTTTTTCCTATTTAATGAAAAACTTTGATTTTGAAGATCAAACATCTGTTTTTGCCATTCTGCGACCCATAGAACTGGTGGCTTCTGGCTTACTCATCTTTGGACTGCTAAAGCAACGAAGTGTTCACAAAAAGGAGATTATCTTGACCTGGTTGATCTGTTCTTCGGTCTTTATAGCTGGCATTTTGTATAATTTCCTTCAGTATACGTGGCTGTTTTATAAAGATGAAATTTCAGCGATAATCAGTGGCATTCTATTGCCTGTTGTAGGTGAGTCGTAATTCATCAATCAATACTGTAATATAATGATAAGGCATATAAACTTTGATGACCAAAGTGCTTTGATAACAAAGTATCGTTGTTTACACTTTATTTCTTGTTTTTTTTTTTTTATCTCAATACCTTTCTTATGAGTATTTATTTATATTTTCACTATTAAAGCTCTGATGTGCGGCATGATGTACGTGATGTACAACGCCTATGTGAAGCTGATTGATGACAGCGATGAAAAATTACTGCCAGCCTAAGGGAGGCACTCTTTTTCCCGCCCCAAGAAGAAGTTTTCTCTGCAATTAGGGGGATTGGGGGGAAAATAATGCTAATGAGTGGAAGAACTGCGGCTGAGTTCGAGTGGCAAGTCGACTAATTACAGTGAAAACCAAACTACGAGTGGCTTAAAGCTTGCCTTATGGGAGGAAATAAAAAAGTGAGTTCTTTCCACATGTTGTGCGTCGCTCCCTGGAAAAGTTTTCCGGGAAAAAGTTTGTCAATTTGCACGCGGGTTTGTATTTTTTCAGCTGCATTTAATTAGAGGTTGTGAAAAGCCATGTTTTGATTATAATTTTGAGTTCTGAACAGGGGAACTTTGTTTAATTTCTTATTGAATTTAGAGTCTTGTCGATTTCCGATTTAATACCCACCATGACATTCCAGCTTGATTTTGTTGGGACTCTCGACCAGTATGCCAAATCATTGCGGCAATTTCGATGCCGATGCCGATGCCAATGCCTATGCGATTCGATTCGGTTTCATTTTGGCACGTATTTAGAGCCTGGGCAAGGACCAAGCATAAAAATTATATTAAATTGGCATTAAAATCATGACCTGGTCATTGCCAACAGCAACAACGAGGCAGCCACTTCGATGGGCCATTAAAATAATAACCAGACCGGGGACCAAAGCGGACCGAGCTTCGCCTGGTTTGGCAAAGGTCAAAGGCCAGACCGTAATGTGTGCTTAAGCATGGACAGCACGTGCTGCAATGAACTCTCCCTCAACTCCGGGAATCCGGGACATACTTATGCAAATAGTCCGGACTGTACCAAGCAGTTTTAGTTGGAAATGGCAATTCAATGATCGAAAGGCTGGGCAGGGCGATAATGGAGCTGGCAGTTTTCATTTCCTGTCAACCTAGAACAAGGATCAGGGTGGAGTGCACTGGTAATAAATGGGTTTAAGTGCTCTTTATATAAAAATAGCAAACTAAAAGGTACTATTATATTCAAGACTTCCGGTGTATATACTATTAAAACCCAGAGTTAAAGATGTATTAACTCGGGTTTGCTGCAACCCTCCATTGACTTGTCAGAGGCTTAAAGATTTTCAATAAATTCAATGAAAATAATACACTTTTAAAGTGAATTCTATATTTTCCCGCTGTGCAGGCTGCCAGCCAGCCGGCTTGTCAACGGGGCGGCCAAAACCATTAACGCATTAAGCGGACAGCTAGCCATCAACCCATTGAAGTTGTCGACATTGATTATGGGAATACCGCAGCTGGAGTTCAATTACACAAAATTAAAGCCCTGACTGAGGCTGAGACTTTGGCTGAAAGGCTTTCGCCACTTCACAGGGCCATAAATTATGCAGCCGTGTCTAAACAGAAACAGAAACTGAAACTGAAACTCAAACTCCCCAAAAGCAAATGCCAAGCCAAAACTAAACGTGATTATCTTAATTTATGCAGGGTCAGGCGATGGTTTACTTATGCGTATCCAATGGTTTGTGCAGCCCTCGGAATAAATATAAATTGCAAAAACTGTCAAAGCCAAACAGTTGCGAGGAGCCAAAGTCCAGGACCAAGTCCGAGACCGAGACCGAGACCGAGAAGGGAATGCAATGGCCAGGATATGTGTGTCCTGTGTGTGTTATCGTTCGTTTGTGGCACAATAAAGGAAATTTTTATCGCCGCCGCATTTGACATTTGAAGTATGCGCTACAAAATTTATTGTTGCCGCTGTTTCAATAAACAAGAACAGCAACAAAGGACGTATAAAAAGTGAGGCGACCCATGTGTAATACCCGAATGGAATTTCAATTTGAGGAGCTTTTTATCTTTTGGAACCAGCATGGAGATGCTCTCTTTCTCTCTCTCCCGGGGACATGCAAAAGGATGCGACAGCATCTACCTCTTGAAAGGGGGGGAAAAAAAGAGGAAAGAGAATAGTTGCCCAGGTGAAGGTGGAGCCTGTCAATGATTGCTTAAGATTGCTGCCGTAATTGTGTCGGTTGTTTGTTCTCCTTTGGCTATGACTGCCAGCAATCAGCTTATACATATTGCATGGCCATCCTGCAATAAAACGATTCGCACACCCACTAGATGAGAAGAGAGGGGGGAGGTGGCAGTGGCAGTGGCGAATGCGTGTCCTTCGGGGCGACTTCGATGGCTGACTGCTTATCCCCAGCACGTGCCCAGTGCAAGATTGGTACCAGTGCTTAAAAAAGTATCGAAACACTGGGAAAAGAGTTTAAAACATGTCTGACTAACAGATTAGTACATAATAGGATTTTAGTAGTTAAGAAACGCACAATTTTAACACTCTGCAGTACTTAAATCTTGAATTTTCCTCTCTAATGCATATCTTAAGCATTTTCTTCGAGTGCTGCCACCTGCTGGTGTTCAAATCCACTCACATACACATACAGCTACACACACACTCACAAGCACGCACAGCTGCCGCCTGCAACGTGACGTCAATGCGAATGCGCTTCGTGCGTTGCTGCTGCTGCTCTTGGGCTGGCCGATGGTGCGTATACGCAATGCCAAAAAGCATCCGCCCCGTGTTCCGGCAGAGCAGCTTCGCAGCTCCCCAGCTTCCCAGCTTCCTAGCTCTCCCGCAGCATATAGCCATAGCGATTGCTCTTTTACATAACAATGGCATTTTCGCGAGGCGCTAAGTGTGACAATAAATTGTCCTGTCAACTTGTATTTATCTATATCGTGACCGTATCCGGCGTACCCGACGACCAACGACCAACGACCAACCGGGGCGAAAGTTTTGTTAGGCAAACAACAAGTGGGTGCAAAAGAGAGGCGGCTCGCTTTATTACCTTGATTCAGTTGCTCCCTCTTGCGTACCCTTCGGGTTCATTGTCTCTCTCTTACTCTGGGGGATTCAGCTGTCGGTGTGCGAGTTCATATTAAATTCGCAGGACTCGCGTGTGCCGCACCAACAAATGGCAAAAAGAAGGAAAGAAAACAAGGGAAAAAATTGAGAACAGCAAAAACGAAATGGATAAAAGCCTGGCACAATGCAGCACCATCTCTGGGGCATAATTTGCGTTTAATGAATTGTGCAAAAAGATTTTTATTCACTTAGCCCCCGTCGCATGCGTACATATATGTGGCCATAAGCCGCTTAGCGGCATTTTTGGTCTAGCAAATTGAAAAGCTGCATTACGGCCACGAGGACTCCTTCTCGGGATTACTTGCCGATCAATTATTTAGTCATTAGCGTTACAATAACCCCGGGACAATCATGGCTCTCTCTGTGTGTGTGTGTGGTGTGTGCGTGAATGTTTGATCGATGAATTTGGCTGTGGACAAGGGGCAGCGCACACTGGCTAATTAAGATTAATTAGTCGAAGAGAATTTTCAATTACAATTTTGGGGGATTTCATGAATTCCATTCATGGGATTATTAAAGCGATTTCAAGGACTTCACACACTTATATGCCCGAACCTGTCAGTTCATCATTTCGAGTGCAACAACAAGAAGAACAATGCTTAACACCACATCAAGTTAAGATGATAGCCGTCATGACAACAACACACGCCAAACTTTTCAAGATACACAAAGAGCTGAAGCTGAAGCCGTAGCGGGAGCCGAAAATGCGAGTGAGAAAAAAAGCTGGCGGCCGCTGTAATTTACACGCTTTTTCCGACCTTCCCCCACGCCATCAGACCCACCACCCCCCAACTCTGGTTGCCTCCATCAATGTCAGGCAAACGTTTTTCCTGATAGCGGACATCCTCCCCAAGCGCTGCACACTATATACGTTTATATACACCAGGAAAAATAGGTAATACATAAAGAATATGATCAGAAAAGGTTCAGCAATGTATAGAGATGATTCATGGAACTTTGAAGTTATTAATATACTAGATACATAAAATCAGCATAATATATATATAATATTTAAGATATTTCTCAATTATAATTTAAATGTACCTGCTTTTCTCACAGTGTTGGCATCCTTTATCTGACGTCAAGATGCGGACGTACGTAAAGTGCGTAAATGTGCGTGTGTCCCGCATTTAATGCGGTCTGCCTTGGCGATAAACTTTTGCAGCTGTCTCGGGCCCACTTCCCACAAAACAAAACGAAAAAAAGATACACACACACCCACGAAAAAAAACCCCAAAAACCTCCCCCTGCCACTCCTCCTTTTATTTGGAATTTTTTGGATTGCCGCCTTCCGTTTGGCTCAATCATTTTACGTCTCATAAAACATAAATAGCAATCGATTCCTGAAGGGGTCCCTTCCAAGTCGCAGTCTCCAGTCACCGGATCTCCGACACTGTCATTGTTTCGTCGGCGACAATTTGAATTATCCCGTAGCAGGGATAAAGCCCAAAACAAAAAAAAAAAATACAAATAACACACCTCGATGCCCGAATACTCTTACATTTTGGAAAGCCAAACAAATTTCGGAGATCTGTTTATTATTCGACGCTAAATAAACAATGTGAACTCATTCGCAGCTTCGTTAGACTTTTGCGGTGGCGGACTTTTAGGCAACAAAATATACACATGTTTGGTTAAGAACTTTGAACTGCAGTTTATTTATTTTATTTTGTATTTTATTTATTTATATAATGCTAGCTTATATGAGGAAGCAAAGGCAGTGTAAATATTGCTTTGTGTAAATGGTGGCCAGAGTTTTGTTGGCTGCGCGTTTTTTAATTTACTAAATGTAATTTTATGTATATAATTCTTGAATTTTAATATTAGTTTTGAGGAAATTTAAATAGTAATAGTTAAGAGGCACAGCTATAGTTTTCCCATCTAACTTATCTAAGTAGGTTTATATTTCAATGACGATTTGTCTTGAATGAACTATATTTACTAACAAGAAGAATTCACAGAGATTTTATAATATGCTAATATTATTAATTTAATTAAAAGTACTTTCCACATCCTAAAATGATCCATATTTTATTGTAATCTTATAAATAAATACATAGTATAAATAATATATATTATTATAAGAACAAAGCTTACGCCTTGGCTAACATATCCTCCCTGAAGGATATATGTATGTAGAATGTCAAGGTTGCTCTGTGTGTTATATGGATTTTAGCCAGCTTGTTGTTGTTGTCATTATTATTGTTGCCTTGTTGTTCAGTTCTTGCTGGTTGCTCTCCAGGGCAACATTTGGCGGTTACTCGTCCGCGGGCTGGCTAAAGTCTATAATGCAGCATTATTTTATGTCGAGCCAAGCAATTTATTGAATTTTCTTCTCCTACGTTGAGTTTTTTTGTTTCGCCTCTTTTTGGGTGTGAGTGTGTGTGTTTCTTTTTGCATTCCTTTTTTTGTCGGGGGCCAAATGTGTTGAAGTATTTTATGGGTCTTTTGGGCGAATATCAATAAATTTTTAATATGATAAAGTGAGTCAAATGATGATTGAAATCGAGCTTTGAATTCACATTGCTTATCCAGATCAGGTTTTGCTCAGCTCTGGGAGTTGCTCTGTTCATTTTGCGAGGACTTTCACTGCATAAATTGAATTCAGCTCTCACAGTAGTTCACTTCGCTTTGCTAGTGTCCTTTGTGCCATTTTGTCCCTTTTTGCACGCTCTCTGCCATCTGCCATTTGCGATTTGCCATTCGCCATTTGCATTTGGCTAGGAAAAGTGATAAGAAAATGCAATTCCCACTACACACAGACACATGTGACAAAGCAGCAGAGGGAAAGTGGAAAAGTGGGGGAAAACTGGAGGAGCTAAGCAGCTTAGCACTGGCTGAGCAACAGAGGAGAGGATAGAAAAAGAAGAAGTTACCAAATTCAATTGACGTTGACCAAATCAAATCAAAGGCGAATCAATGCCAACTGCCACTAAATTTCGGTGATTTCGGCATGCAAATTTAAACGAAATATTTAGCCAGCCATCAGGTAATGAATTACGGTATTGGTGCACTGAGAAAATCACTTGTGGGGAGGAGAAAAATAAATATAACTTTTAAAATAAAATAAGCTAAGCTTATTTCAATGAAACTTAGCTAAAAGATATACGAGAATTCATAATTCATTAATTGTTGTTTCCTTTATATTTATTTACTAACTATTTCTCTTAAATATTAAAATTGTTTAGCTAGTATACGCACTCTTAATGAATTTTTATGTGTTTAAATGTAACCTATAAGAAATTATCCCAACATTATTTTACATTTATAATTGATTGATTTTTGTTGTTTCCAGTGCATGCCCGTGTCGATTTAGATTTTCTGGGGGTGGGAGGGTTGTGGCTGGAAAATGCGGGTCGGTTGAGGCGTTTCTGTCATACAAGTTTAATTGGCTAAAATTTCAGGCTTTATCTTCTCCGCCGCCGCCGCCTCCTGTACGCATATACATTTAATTACTACACCGTTGGCAATAATTTATAATACTAATTAAAATTTCGAACACGCATACAAACCCAGCCTCACACATACACACAAATACACACACACACTGGCATAAATAATCACTGGAGAATGGCGAATGCGCCGCCGGCATTGAAAATTTTCATTTGCATGCAGACAACAATCTCGCATGTGTGTGTGTGTGTGCAGGTGTGTCTGCTTGGGTGTTTGTGAGTGAATGTGGAACCTTTATCAATCAAATGTTAATTAAGTTTCAACTCAGGCAACCGAACAAATGCCAAACCAACTAACAAACCAACTTTTTCGCTGAGGCCTTTCTGCCGCCGCCGTCGTCGTCGCGAAAACGACGAGTTTTCCGTTGAAAAATTAAATTGGTTTGCATGGAAGTGGTTAGGTTAGGGGGGCACTGGCACTGTAGCAGTCTTTCTCCTCTTCCTCTTAGCCATTTGCAAGTTATTACGCATACGCCCCGGCAGCCGTGGCATATAAAATGCAAACGTAATGCGCTCATCAAATAAAATTAGCCAACTGATGCTCAAACTCAACAGCGGGAGCAACAACAGTATTTCCTAAAAAAAAAGGAAAAGAAGAGGCAAACAAACAAATGAAAGAGGAAAATATATGCGTAACCGGAAATGCTACTCGGCTGCCATCCTTTTCTTCCCACGCCCCCCCTCACACACACCCTCCCCTTTCTCTTTACGATATTGTCTGACTTGTTTGTAATGGTTTTTTGGTTAACATGCGCACAGATTGATGAGTGGCCAAATTGTACACAGCCGCAAATTGTGGCAATTTCGGTTACTGTCAACGCTATACACACACACAGGCGCACGGGCAAACCAAACACGTACAGGGTGCACAGGGAGAAAGGGGGAGGAAGTTTATAACAGCATTTTTATAAAAGAAATCACTAATATAAAGGATCAGAATCATAAAGATTATTCTCATTATAGGCAATTAGAATACGGAAGCTCAGAAAGAAATACCAAATATTTTCAACTATATTTTGTTATTTATTCCTCCAATTTAACTTCACCTGTTATCTTAGAACTTTACACATTATGACAATCTAATATTAATATGTTCCTTAATTACTAATTTTCTATTTTAATATTTATTCATTCCCTTGCATTTTAAATCCTAATAATTATTTATATAACATTTCGCATTATTATTCCAATTATTTTCAGTGTAGAGAGGCGTAAGCATGTGGCAAATGTGCAGGCACGTTTTTATATTGCAGCAGGCCAGGGCTCTGCCCTGCTTGTTTGCATGCCAACAAGGAGCGGCAGGCAAAACAGAATCAGAAACAGAACCAGAATCTGGAGAGCTGGAGCAGGAGCAGGAGCTGGAGCAGGAGCAGGAACCGAAACACAGAGGCTTTTACGTCCACATCCACATTTAGACGGAGTCAGGCTCCGTTGCGGTTGCACAAACTCGGAAGAGGCGGAGGAAGGTCGCCGGGGGCATCGGCATCCCAGCAGGAAGTTGTCCAGGACAGCCGCATTCCGTTTAGACCTTGGCCAGCTGCATTTCCATGCAAGAGTTTTCAGCATTTTCATTCAACATTTTCCCCTACAAAAAAAAAGACAGAAACACGGGCATTTTTGTGGCGTTTTTATGATTGTTTTTGCCATTCCAGTTAAAGGGAGGTTTATGGTGAGTGAAAATATTAAGAAATTAAGCAAAGTTAAATGCATATGAAGAGCCTTTTGCTAGCTTTAATTTTTGAGGTTTGCCTAAATTAAATATTTTATTAGCCTTACGAAAATATTACCTTATTCCTCAGAGGATTAAATATCACGTTTCGATTGACATTTCTCTGAGGGCAAAGGAGAAAACTTACCGCAATGGAAGTTCTTTGGAAGAGCTTTGTCTATTTTCATTTCAATGCCTTCCTTCCACCTAGCTTCATTTTTTTCACACAGTGTCAAAGAAAGTTTTTCGCGCAAGGATGCCTTACCATTTGATTGGCCCTACATCCCGATGCCCCTCACCCACCTTCGATTGTGTCACACGGGGCGGATGCTTGACGTGACGTGCGCCTGGCTCCTGCAAACGGTAACTGCAATTTGATAAAGCGAAGTGACAAGTGCAGCCGACCAAAAGGTCAACCCACCACCCCCACCCCCTCTTGGCCATTTGCAACTGACAGAAGTCAGCGGGAAAGGCGACAGGCAAGAGCGTGTAAGGGAAATCGCTTGGCGTGCGCAACGAACATCATTCCGAGAGCACAGCACCATCATCATCAGGTGGTAATCCCCAATGATAACGCGTTGTCACACTCGCATTGCGTTCTTTATATATATTTCTGTTTCACTTCAAAAGCCGCTCAATGTCATCTACCAGAGCTGATGGCTCCAGATGGGCGCCATAGCGTTGGAATACCTTTCCCTGTCGATCCACCAGAAACTTGACAAAGTTCCACTCGATTTCTGGCTGGTTCAGGGTTAGCATTTTATAAAGCGGATCTGCCTTTCTACCCTTAACCTGTATCTTGGCGAAAATGTGTCCTATATTGGCGCCCTCCTTGCGTAGATGGTCCATGGTCTCCTGGCCATCGGACTCGGGCATCTGTCCGCCAAATTGATTGCAGGGGAAGTTGAGGATGCTCAGACCACGATCCTCGTACCGCTCAATCAACTCCTGAAGGCCCGTGTACTGGGTAAGGGTGAGGCCGCACCTGAAGAGAGAATATAATTATGCACATATTTTAATTATGAGTTTCTCGTACCTAGAGGCAATGTTCACGATGAGCAACACCTTGCCCTGATAGAGCTTTAGCGCCACAGGCCTGCCATAAGTATCATTTACTGTCCGCGAGTAAATTGTGTGTTGCCATCGCATATCGTCCAGATCCCTTCCTAAACGCTGGTGCGTCAGGAGAACTGTGACCAATGCCACCGTTATTAGGCCATAAAAACGAGGGTCTTCACTCAGCATCTCGTCTCACTGTTAACTACTAACTGCATTTGGCGACCGATGCATCGCTTTGGGCCAAAATCGATTCGTTGCCCTAATTGTGCGTGAAGCAACGCTGGAAAATGTCATTTACATGTCCAGAGAGTTGGACATATGTCGAAAAAACAGCGAGAATACTTCTGCTTAAAAAAGCGGAGCTAAAACTGGGGCAGCCAAAATTGAATTTGGGCGAAAACGAGCGAAAGTTGCATGCAGGCGAGTTGCAGGTTAACTTAATTTTTAACTTTTTCCTGCCCTGCGACTCTGCCTGGCCTGCCACTCGAAATGGGAACACCTCCCCACACACACACACACTGAAAACAAAACACACAAAAGTTGAACAATCGTAACGAAATAATTGAATTTTCATTTCCGTTTTATGTGTTTACTTCCGCTTCCATGGCCGCGCCGCCATTTTCTTTGCCCTTTCTCCCGGTCTCTCTCTCTCTCTTCTTGCTCTTTAGTCCTTTTTATACTCCCTCGTATCCTCGCATGTGTGTCGGCCTATTTGTATACAAAAGGCAGTCAATTTCTGCCAGCTTGAGGCAACTTTTTAAGTCAATTGTCAAAAAGTTTTTAACATCTTTTGCCGCCTTCCTTTCCCTGCTTTCTCCCTCTCTCTCTATATATATTTTTTGTTTCATTTTCGCTGCCAAATTGAAATATAATTCGGTAAAGTTTCGGCTTTTCCACTTATACGTTGTTTTTGACGCGAGGACGTGGGCCATAAATCAATGGCAGGCAAAAGGCGTTCGACTGAAATTGATTTAGATTTCGGGTGTAGAGGGGCGTGGTCCTGGGCATAACTCCTTTACTCGTCTGTCAAAGCCCGCGGCGTTGCAGAGAAAACTGTCCTGAGTGTCAGTGCATTTTGTAGTTTGATTGAAACTCACATCTGCAGCCCCATTTGTACATAAACAAAAAATATAGAAGGGTTTTGAATTTAAATTTACATATTTTAGGGTATGCATGTTATTTGTAAAATTGTTTTCTAAGCTAAGTATTTTTTATTAGACGTTAAATGCACTCTTGAAAAAACCTGAACCGAACTCTTAATCACACGTACTACTCTTTTAAAATATACAAATAATTAAGATGAACTCCTATTCTTTTAAACAAGTTATGAGGGATCCTTTCCCACAACTGACTCATCGGTTGAAGCCATAAAAACGGAGTCGTAAACGCTTGAAATTTCAAATAAGATTTCGATAAAATCAGCATAGACTGATTGCCAACCCGCCCAAATGGCAATAACCAGCGATTATGGAAAGACACACAGATATAGCACCACAACCAGAATGATGAACTTTGGCTGTTTTGCATATTTGATGCACTCGACATAAACTTAATAAACATTGGCCTCCACCAGTAGTTACAGGTTATAAACCCGCGGTGCGCTCTCTAAACTCGTAAACGGGGAAAGGCGTTAAAGTCGCCGAACCACAACTGCTTGTTTTATGGCCAACTCAATGAACTTGCCACTACGACCCCAAATTGCCGTTTTCCATTTTCCATCTGGTTTTCTGTCTAAGCGTTCCCTGCAATCATTTCGCTTGCTGTTGCATCATTTTTCACTATTAACCGGAGTGGGGATCCGGGACTCTGAGCCATAAAAGCAGCGTTTGTGCCACTAAAAATGTTTGACATGTGACTGTGAGCTAGGTTTTTCTACGACTGCCAGTGGGCCAGGTGTGCTGCCCACCTTGATCCTCGACTGAGAGCTCACCTGAGCAGAGGTTAACTGCTGCTCCTGCAGCTCCACTTGTCACTTGCCACTCTGCCGCCACTCGCTACTCGCTACTGCCACTTGCGCATTTAATTAAGTTTACGCCGCGCTGCACACGCAAAAGGACGAAGGACGTTATTAATTAAATTCCTTTATACACAGGTTAAGCCAGTAACCGCCGCCCAGCCAGCACGCCCCCGGCCCACCGTCTTTTGTGTGTCAACAATTGGAATATTAACGAGGCAACTAATGAAAGTTTACAAAGGCACACACACCGCGACCTGAGTGCTTCTCACCTCGAAATCGAAAGCGAAACATTTAATAAGAATCGCTGTCTCTGATTTTGGCTAAAAAGATCAAAGGTATTGGCTGGAAAGGAGTCTCTCCTTACCTTTTGACCCACCCGGCGTATACGCGATTTTTAAGGGTTAACGGATATAGGTACAATAGATCGCCTTGGGAGTTATGTTTTTGTGAATAACTTGTATACTACTTCAAGAAATAATTAAGCAATTGAACGATAAGAAAAATAACATGCATATTTCCGTAAGAAATAGTAAACCAATCCTTACCCTCCAATACAAGTTGAAAACGCCCTTACAGCTGAGGAGACCTCTAAAAATATTGCATGAAATCCTAAAAGGGCTACGAGACTGAAAGCATTTATCAAAATTCCATCAAAGATCAAAGCCACCACCGCGGTAAGAGACCTCTCACCTCTCTGCCTTGACCCAGCCGCCATTTGGGTGATTTTTGAAGGGTCCAATTATAGTCGATCGCCTTGGGAGAGTCTGTCTGCGTGTAAATCCCACAGAGCCGAGCTGATGATGCTGATGCACTCCAGAGTAGGGTCTCTGGACCCCTAATAAGCCAACCAGCACATCAAAGGCAGTCAGAAGTCATAACCCAGACGCTCAGACGCCCAGACACATATGCAAAGGGGATATGTGTATTACCCTTTCGTATTTAAGCCGCTTGTCGAACGCGCAAATCCAGTAGGGGAAAATCGACTTTTATTCAATATACACTTAAAAAATCAACTGGAAAAGGGGGCGGTGAGAGTAGGGAAAGTATGGCAGCAATATGCGAGTATAAATGTGCAAATCCCCCAGTGCAGTAGCAACAGCTGCTGCTGCTCCTGCTCCTGCTCTGCTCCTGCTACTGCTGATATTCCTTCCCCGCTCTGCACTCGCTGGCATTTACATTTAAGCTGATAAGCAAAAGTGCCCTCTACCCTAGCTTTTCCCGCATTTTTCCCCCATTTTCTCCCACCTGAGCGTTAAGTCTTGAAGCCTTGAAGTGAGCCCACACACACACACACCCACCCACGCTCTTATGCCTATATTCGAAGCGAAAAGAATTGTTTGCCGAGAATGTCGCAAGTTTATGAAATCGCGTGAGCTGGCAGCCAGGAATTTACATTTGACGCACGCACTTTACATTATTAATGCCGCGAGCCCAAGCAGAGGCAGCGAACAACAACGAACAAAAATAAATAAACCAAAAACTCAAGTTTCAAGACTCTCCAGACTTTTGATACAAAATATAAATACCCTTGGCTTTGTTTTAATTTTAAGAGCCGGGATAATGCTTTAAGGTGTGTAAAAGGGTTTTAAATAAAACCCAGATTTATAATAGGATTTTTTAGAATTTTAGGAGTGGGATTCCCTCACCTAAGAGGACATTTTAAAAGATTTTTTAGACTAACTATATATAAGTTTAAAAGCAGTACTAAAAATACTAAGGAAACATTATAATTTATTGGATTAAGGCTTGATCTGGATCTACCAGACACGAATGGACTTAAGCCTAATTTGATAACTTAACACAAATGATTTTCCATTCTCTATAACCTGTAGACTATTTAATTTTTTGCTATAATTTCTAATCCCTTTAACAACTCTGTTAAATTCAATATCCCCCCTAAGAGATTTAACTTTAAAAAGGGTATACAAATTAGACCCAGTAAATGGGTATTTCCCTGTGTAAACCAGTGTGTGTGTGGGAGTAGGTGTGCTTGGGTGTTTTTGGGGAAATGCTTCAGCCATTTCACAAATGTATCGCATTTCCGAATGTGTGTTTGCATTTTTACGCTTCGCTGGGAATTTTCCAATTTTTGCTGCTAATATTTATTAATCAAGTAATAGCTACACACTTGTACACACTTGTGTGTAGCTCTGTGTGTGTGTACGCTTGATTTTTGCACGAAAAATTGATTGCAAATTTATAAGCTAAACTTTTTCCACTGTTTGCTTTTGTTTGCGGCTCACGAAACAAACTTTTTTCGGTGTTGCTGTGCGGTTTTCCTTTTTTTATACACTTTTGTTGGCTGCCATTTGCAGCACTTGAAAAGGTCGCCACAGATGGCAATGTATGGAAAATTTTTCAATTTTCCATCACACAAAAATATTGAAATTCGACTTTTATGATTTTTTTGGTCTCAGCAAGCTTTGGCAGTTCCCCAGCTGTATGTCAAAGTCAACCTAGCAAAGCACGGAACAGCTAGAATCATTCTCAGTCCTAACATTGTATTGAGCACACCTTTCTCTCTAAAATAAATCGAAATAAAAAGTAAGTTTTGAAAAGTGAAAAAAAAAATCTTTAACAAAAGTTACAAAAAACAGAAACCAAAAAAAGAGTTGTACTTTCAATCGGAAATAATTTTGAGTAATTCTCGGTTAACCTTTGAATATTTCGTGTCTCCCACAGCTTTCTCCAATCTTCGAAAGCCACGAAAAGCGAATATTATATTTATAAAGCCGAAGCCTGATAATGAATATTTTAAAGATGAAACTTTTGATGATTTTGGGTGTAAGTATGACCAAAAGATCAAACTTTTGGTAAGCTTATGTTCATGATTGTTTCCTTAATTCTTTCCTAGTTACCCTTATGATTGTGATGCAGCCGGCTATGGGAAATGTAGTGCCGCTGTTCGCCTTGGATTTGATTAATGCCACTGCCCTCAAGGCCACCGATGGTCTTGCCGGCGGAAAGGCTACCAATGGTACCACTACCGGCACCACCACCCCAATCACTATCACCACCGCCACCGCCACCGCCACCGCCACCGCCACTTTGAAGCCGTTGACTACCACTTCGATCCCCAAGAAGGAGCATCAGACCACCAAAGGGACTACAGCCGCCACCACTCATGGAAAGCCAGCCACGGCTTCCCGTAAGGATGTCGAATACATGGCTTATATGAACGATCTCTTTGACCTGGAAAACTCGATGAGACGCAAGTACCAGAAGCGTCGCTCTCACGGCGCTCTGCCAACCAAGGCTGCAGTGGGCGGCTCCATTGTGGCCCATCCGCTCATGTACTACAATATGGCACCGCCCAGGATGCAGGCAGCTAGGATTGATCTGGAGCTAAGCTATAAGCCGGGACAGGCATTGGACGATGGTGGTAATGGTGTTAATGGGGTAATGGTGGTGCCCCCTTGAAGCACAACAAGTCCAAGGCCGTGCAGACTCTGCCACCGTTGCTGGAAATGCTAAGCAAGCCCCAGCAGCATCCGGAGATGCCTGCTATAATGGAGTTCCTCAATGGCATCGTGGACTTGGTCATCAACAGCAGCAGCAACTCCAACGGGGATAAGGAGTCCAAGCCGGTTGGTTACATCAATAAAACCGTCTCTCCGGATGGCAAGCACCAGATCAAGGAGTTCGGGATACGGGCTCCCAACATGGTGATCAAGGGAGTGCAGCAGGAAACCAACTATGGACTGCCCTCGGACCAGAACACCTATGAGACCTTGTCGGAGGTTTTGCGTCCCTCGTTCAAGCCAATGAAGATGCCAAAGAAATTGGGGCAGGAGCACAACTACGGACTGCCCTCTGAGCCGATCTCCTATGAGGCCTTGGATTTTCTGGGACCCGCTTTCAAGCCCGTTAAGATGCCCAAGAAAGTGGAGCTGGAGCAGCACCAGTTGAAACCGAAGCAGAAGCAGCGCCATCATCGCCGCGAGCCGCAGCTAGGACCCCAGTATGAATTGCTCAATGGCGGCATTGACATGGCCCTACGCAAGAACTACGAGATGATCGACCGTCTTCTGGAGGACCTCGAGCAGGAGGACGAGCTGCTGCAGGTGATCAAGGATGCTACCAAGCAACTATCAGAACAAACAAACGAACTGACCCACAATTTACAGAAAAAGAGCCACACTCCCAATGAGGAGCTCATCGTGAGCTGCCCGATTCACCACGAATTCCATGCCGATCGCTATGGCGATATAATTGAGGAGGATGTGGTAGAGGTCGATGAATGCGAAGCGGTCAAGATTCTAGATTAATCGGAGGGCTTACAGGACATATTCAGCTCTCTCCACAGAGAGCACTTTCAACCCAATGGTTTTCACAAAATTTGTTTGTTTCTTACATCGCATTTCATAGTGTCAGCCGCCACCCAACTTGTTTCTCTGTTCGGTCAGACAAGGGAAAGTCGGCCTTAAATTGTTTGCGTTTAATGATGTTAAAGTTTACAAAATCGAGACATTTTTACACAACATACAACATCGAACATGCGACACACAACATACTACATACAACATTGAACATACAGTCATACAACATACAACAATTAATTTGGAAAGGGAGCGCTAAATAAATTTAAAACACACACACCCAACTGGTAAGTGTTTTTTATGGGAGGGTATGAAGTAGTAGTAGTTATACTCTTAAAATTTCTCTAACTACAAAGAATGCAGTCTAGGCTTAACCTTGTTGGAAACTGATGTTAGCTCGCAAGGTTGCATAATAAATAAACCTTCGGGAATGCCATTATCCTGCTGATTGGCCTTTGTTACCAACTCTCTTCCTCCTTCTCTGGAAGAAGAAAAATATCAAACTTTCGCTTCAATCGAAACTGAATCCCTTAGGGTCGCTTCATCCTGCTGTTTGTCCCTTGAAGTTCGCCTCGCCTTCGTTTTCATTAACAAAATCGATTTCCTACCTTGAAATGTCCTGCGGGGGGCTAGGTAAAATTGATATGCCGAGTGCGACAGTGCAGCCAAACGAGCAAACAAATCCAACAAGGAGCTAAGGACGAGGCTGTAAGGATGTAAGGATGTAAGGATGTGGAATGGAGCCAAAAGGCCAAGTTTTGCTCGCTGGCAGTGGCACAGAGCCACAGCTAAATGCTGCTAATTTCGTATACAATAAAACTAATGTAAATTGCCACTTGACGTTCACTGGGCGTGTAAGTGTGTGCCAGAGTATGTGCGAGTGTGCGGGGTGTGTGTGTGTATCACATAGACATTAAATGGGGCACATAATGTGCTGGGAGTCAGGAATCAAGAACCGAGAACCAAGGGCTGGAACTGAGAGCTGGGTACTGAGCACCGGGAGGAGTCAGTTGCCCGAGCGAGTGTCATGGGTGCTGCTCGACCATCAACATAAATACAAATTTGCTTCACAAATCCAAGTATATAATCTATATAAACTGCACGAGAGAGTGCCAGTGCATCTACATACATGTGTGGAAAAGCGGAAAAGTGCAACGCAGCATTCGTAAAATTGCGTAGCTTGTATGACTTCAAGTTGCACTTGAAGAAATTAACAAGGAACAACGTGGTTTGATGGAAAACAAAAAAGAATTTAAAGATATAAGGTGAGAATTTATTTCCATAATCAAAATACCTTCTAATCATTCAATATATACAGATTCTTTCTTGAAGATAATAATTGATAAAATAAAAAGCAAGCCTACCTTGTATCAGTACTTAAAACTCTCTTCAAATATTATCCAAGTTTATGGCAAAACATTTAGTTGAATTAGAGCCATTGGGAAATCCACAACAGGCCTTTCCTTTCGCGGTGCACAAGTGGCACTGCCACTGTCCCTGGGGTGTTAACTGGAGTGTAAATGCGAATGTATGTGCAATTCATGCTGGTAAGTGACCGGGTCCCCCTGCAAGCCACTCGCCCTCGAATTTATATTTATTTACAAGAGTAAATAATAAATATACTGCTAGCACGCCAAGGTTGCCCATTGAAAGTGCATTAACTTTCGTCATACATAGAGGCGTCTTTAAATTCGTGGGCAATATAAATAAATGTAGAGAGGAAGGGACAGGACATTTTCAAGGAGATTCGACGAAGTTGACAGGCAGACAGACGGCGACCACTTTCGCTAATCTCTTTGCTTTTGGAAATTTATGGCTTCATTATGGGGACGAACAAAGAAGACGACGACGACGAGCGTTGCCAGGACATTGCCACTCTTCTGTCAGTCATCCTGTCATCCTGGCTCCTTGCTGCTGTTGTTGTTAATGTTATGTTTGTCATTTGGCAGCTTGTAATTACGTTCGCCACAAGTTGTTGGCAAAAGTTGTAATCTAGATTTCATAGTCCAAAGGCGACAAGCAACAGCATCAAATTCAATTGAACTGTTTGAGTCAGCCAAAGTCAAATCAAAAGGATACGCTGCTGCGTCCTTTAAAGCGCCATTAAAGTGTCGGCAAGAGTCTGTCGTATCTGAGCCCCGGAATAGCACATCAATTTTCCGCACAAGTCAGGCTATGCGAGTATGGGTGAAATTCTAGGGAAAATTGCCGGAATATAAATTGCAAAATCATTTTTATATCCACCCTTAGAGTAAGTCCCAATTTCCCTATTTAATCGTAAAGTGCCGAGTTTAACAAGGATAGACAATTCGATGACTAAAAGTACTTAATCCTTAGTTTAATGGCCATAAATTGTCCAATTATTCATAGACTGTTGAATCTGCCTTACTTAACAGGCACCTGTTGCTAGTTGGGCTACCTTTAATACAAAACTATTTGGGTCTGATTTTCATTTTGTTCTTGTTTTCAGGTTAAAGAGAACATTTTGAATCAATATTAAATAATCGAGATTTGGTGGAAAAAATCAATTTTAAAGAACACATAAATCAGCAAAAAAACAGTAATTTTAATTCAGAAATAAGCCCTATGCCAGTTTCTATTGAGGGAATAAATCTGCATAATCAATTTAAGATGTAAAGTTTGGCCAATTTTTGACAATTTTAACGAATTAAAAAAAAAAATATAAAAAAAATAAATGTATTTTCTTTTCTTCATGCCTAAAAAGATTCGCCTGTTGATGCTGATTTATAGGGTCGGAAATGACTCCTTCACTTTCTTTTAAGCTTCCGACTAAAGGTGCAATACCATTTTTTAATCAATATTAACTATATTATTCATGTAAATTTTTTCAACAAATCAAAATTTAAAAATCTCATAACTCAGTCAAAATAGCATTAAATTCAATTCGGAGAACGCTGAAATGTTAATTTTTAGAAGGTTAATAAAACTGCATACTCCATTTAAAATGCGAATTTTTGGCCGATTTTTGGAATTTTTAATGATGTAACCCCTTTCCTTTTTTTCTCAAAATGGGAAATTTCTGAAAAAAAAATGTTTTGCCCGGAGATAGCTAGAAAGATTCGCCTGTTGATGCTGATCAAGAATATATATGATTTATAGGGTCGGAAATGACTCCTTCACTTTCTTTTAAGCTTCCGACTAAAGGTGCAATACCATTTTTTAATCGATATTAACTATATTATTCATGTAAATTTTTTCAACAAATCAAAATTTAAAAATCTCATAACTCAGTCAAAATAGCATTAAATTCAATTCGGAGAACGCTAGAATGTTAATTTTTAGCAGGTTAATAAAACTGCCTAAGATGTATAGGGTCGGAAATAACTCCTTTACTTTCTTTTAGACTTCCGACTAAAGGTGCAATACCATTTTAACTATATTATTTATGTAAATTTTTTCAACAAATCAAAATTTAAAAATCTCATAACTCAGCCAAAATAGCATTAAATTCAATTCGGAGAACGCTGAAATGTTAATTTTTAGCAGGTTAATAAAACTGCATACTCCATTTAAAATGCGAATTTTTGGCCGATTTTTTGAATTTTTAATGATGTAACCCCTTTCCTTTTTTTCTCAAAATGGGAAATTTCTGAAAAAAAATGTTTTGCCCGGAGATAGCTAGAAAGATTCGCCTGTTGATGCTGATCAAGAATATATATGATTTATAGGGTCGGAAATGACTCCTTCACTTTCTTTTAAGCTTCCGACTAAAGGTGCAATACCATTTTTTAATCGATATTAACTATATTATTCATGTAAATTTTTTCAACAAATCAAAATTTAAAAATCTCATAACTCAGTCAAAATAGCATTAAATTCAATTCGGAGAACGCTGGAATGTTAATTTTTAGCAGGTTAATAAAACTGCATACTCCATTTTAAATGCGAATTTTTGGTCGATTTTTTGAATTTTTAATGATGTAACCCCTTTCCTTTTTTTCAGAAAATGGGAAATTTCTGAAAAAAAATTTTTTGCCCGGAGATAGCTAGAAAGATTCGCCTGTTGATGCTGATCAAGAATATATATGATTTATAGGGTCGGAAATCACTCCTTCACTTTCTTTTAAGCTTCCGACTAAAGGTGCAATACCATTTTTTAATCGATATTAACTATATTATTCATGTAAATTTTTTCAACAAATCAAAATTTAAAAATCTCATAACTCAGTCAAAATAGCATTAAATTCAATTCGGAGAACGCTGAAATTTTAATTTTTAGCAGGTTAATAAAACTGCCTAAGATGTATAGGGTCGGAAATAACTCCTTCACTTTCTTTTAGACTTCCGACTAAAGGTGCAATACCATTTTAACTATATTATTCATGTAAATTTTTTCAACAAATCAAAATTTAAAAATCTCATAACTCAGTCAAAATAGCATTAAATTCAATTCGGAGAACGCTAGAATGTTAATTTTTAGCAGGTTAATAAAACTGCCTAAGATGTATAGGGTCGGAAATAACTCCTTTACTTTCTTTTAGACTTCCGACTAAAGGTGCAATACCATTTTAACTATATTATTTATGTAAATTTTTTCAACAAATCAAAATTTAAAAATCTCATAACTCAGCCAAAATAGCATTAAATTCAATTCGGAGAACGCTGAAATGTTAATTTTTAGCAGGTTAATAAAACTGCATACTCCATTTTAAATGCGAATTTTTGGTCGATTTTTTGAATTTTTAATGATGTAACCCCTTTCCTTTTTTTCAGAAAATGGGAAATTTCTGAAAAAAAATTTTTTTGCCCGGAGATAGCTAGAAAGATTCGCCTGTTGATGCTGATCAAGAATATATATGATTTATAGGGTCGGAAATGACTCCTTCACTTTCTTTTAAGCTTCCGACTAAAGGTGCAATACCATTTTTTAATCGATATTAACTATATTATTCATGTAAATTTTTTCAACAAATCAAAATTTAAAAATCTCATAACTCAGTCAAAATAGCATTAAATTCAATTCGGAGAACGCTGAAATTTTAATTTTTAGCAGGTTAATAAAACTGCCTAAGATGTATAGGGTCGGAAATAACTCCTTCACTTTCTTTTAGACTTCCGACTAAAGGTGCAATACCATTTTAACTATATTATTCATGTAAATTTTTTCAACAAATCAAAATTTAAAAATCTCATAACTCAGTCAAAATAGCATTAAATTCAATTCGGAGAACGCTGAAATGTTAATTTTTAGCAGGTTAATAAAACTGCCTAAGATGTATAGGGTCGGAAATAACTCCTTCACTTTCCTTTAGACTTCCGACTA